GCAAGCTATTCAGCATTATATTACGTTCATTATACCAAAGACTACATTCCCAGAGGATATGATGAGCAGATTGTTCATAATGAGAGTTAGGTGTTGAGCATTGACACAATGGTGACTCGACTAATTTAAATGAATACAACTTGCTCTTAAAGTTACCATGACCCGTAAGAAATTGAGCGACACAGTGATCTACCTCAAGCCATGTCCTTGACAACCGTTCGCGAACAGATGGAAAAAATTGGTAAAGATGGCGCCCCTTGGATGATTCGTCCCAGCGTTGCTGCCATTCGTCTATGAGGTCACTATAGACATCGACTGCTGTTGAAGCAATCTTGTAATTTTACCGCGATCCCGCGCGCCCAAGAAATCGCATTCCATGTTTTGTCTTGAATAGTACATGGCTGCACGTCTCTGCACCTCGAGATCGACCGGAAGGACACCTGCCAACACCGGCAAAGCCTCAGTGCTAACCGTCCTATATGCCTTGCACAAAAATATCAGTGCAAGTCGTTGGCCTTGTAACAGTTTGCGACGGACAGCGCCTACGGTCGCCCTATCGGCCCATACAGGTGCACCATAGCACATAGAACCTAAATAAGTAGCTCCGTATATGATCTTTAATGTATTAAATGATAGACCCCATGTCGCAGTTGATATCCTTGTCAATGCACAGAAACTCTTTTTAGACTTTTCATTAACTGTTTTAATATGTTCGATAAATGAAAAGTTTCTTTCTAAAACTAACCCTAGATAACACACTGCGGTTTTATTTTTTACAGTAACATTGTCAAATCTAATGCTCGGCGGTGATTTGAGGTTACCTTTTAAAAGTAGCTGGAAGGTTTTGTTGGGTGCAAAAGTTAAGCGATTACGTTCACCCCATTGAGATATCAAGTTCAAACATCTATTGGCTAATCTCTCAAGCCCCGCCCTAGTATCAGATTCCACCAGTAATAAGCCGTCATCAGCATACGCGTTCAGAGTACATCCGGATGGTATTGGTATCGCAAGAAAATCGTCGAAGCCGATATTCCACAAGTATGGACCTAGCACCGATCCCTGAGGACATCCCATTGTAAGCGCCTTCGACACAGAATGATGACCAAGTCTTAGTTTAGTTGTACCTTGTGAAAAGTACGAAGAGATAAGGGAATAAATATTTTTAAAGCACCCCCTTGATTTTAATTTCAGCAACAGCATGGGCCACCATGCGTTGTCGAAGGCGCCAGATATATCTAAGAAAATAGCCAGCACGTATTGAAATTTTGACCCTGTGACAAACTTTCTAACCGATATAGCAGCGTCAGTTGTCGATTTACCCAACGTAAATCCAAATTGTCTATCATGAAATTTGACTCCACCAGGCAGAAGCCGGGGCACTACAAGACGTTCTAACAGCTTTCCTAACGATGGTAACAATGTTATTGGTCGGTAGGATTTAGGATCATCCGGTGGTTTGTCGCCACTTTTTGGTATTATACGAATATTACCGCAACGCCATATACGAGGAAATATTCCTTCAGCAATGCAACGTTTAAAGACAGTGAAAATCGTGTCACCCGAAAGTTTACAAGCTTCTTTTATCATTTTGTTAGATATTTTATCATCGCCCGAAGCCTTGTTTAGCGGCAAGGATCTAACGATACCGAGAAATTCGTCTGAAGATGGTAAATCAGACATTGGAGACAGTGGTGGTTCGATGGCCCACTGCCTGATCTGTCGGTGATGATCAGTGTCGTTCTCCGGCCTGGGAAAAGGGGCCTGTCTACTGTTCTTATTTACGAATTATAATTTTTTTATTCATAGGTTTTTGTCAATATTTCTTCGTTTTCATTTTTAATTTTTCTGCCTAATTAATTGTTGCCAGGTATACCTAAGTATTGTTTCAATAAAGCACTTGGCGTAATGATAAGGATTTCAGAACTTTCAGAAGTTTTTTGTCCGAAAGTAAAAGAACGAATAATCACTAAAGTACAAATTGGCTTTGTGATTTTGTTAGTTCTTTAGGAGTTTCTCTTAGTTTTCAACTTATAGAGATGTCAATACTCTTCTTCTTAGCGTGTCGATGACAATTCAAATTGAGTCGGCCCAAAATTTGGCGATACTGACAATTTCAATACTGATTTAATTAATTGCTTGTGTTAACTATTATTGATAAAACCAACTTTTTCTTCTCTACCAATACATAGGTATGCTTTAAGTTGTCCTAAAAGCTGACCCTGCTTTCATAGCATTACTCTAATTACAGCACGAATCAGAGAATTTTAAAGAACTTCCAAAAGGAAGAAATTGAGAATTATCGTGCGACATATCATTTAGGAAGCGATTTCAATAATTCTACACTTAATAACATTACTGATATTCAAGGTTATTCTTGTTTAAAGACGATAATTCTATGTCCTAGGTAAAAAAAAGAGAATGGAGTCCGTGCGGTGACGGATTAAGAATACGAAGTGTCACTACCCCTATTCCTCCCGTGGGTGTCGTAAGAGCCGACCAAGGGAGCAAACTACGCAGGACAACAGCACCACAAGGAGTAAAACTTGAAACAATACCTATACCAACCCGTCTGGCCATCGTATATACCACGATGGCCAGACGGGTTGGCAAAAACCTCCTTTCTAAGGAGACGCCTATGTCCAGCAGTGGACTATTCCCTACAGGCTGTTGATGATGATGATGATGATGATGAGGCGCATTGAGTTGAGAGTTAAGTTTAGTAGTTTTAATTATTTTTTTCTAATGCCCTACGCCGTACAAAAAAAATATTACGTAATGCTCTTTCTTTTGCGTCTTACATTTTATGAAAATTTGTCATAGATACCTAAATATTGGTACAGGAGTCGTTAAAGTCCATTCGTAATATTACTATCATAACACAGGCAAGGGCTTTTTGATTTATAAGTTGGCTTTTAACAATCTCGACAGCGCTGTGTTAATTTATGATCTGATGATGTTTTCGTTGGTTGGAGCATATGTGTTTCGATAGATAATATTAATACGTCTAGCTGAAAAAATATTAATAATAATTCTACGGGGAGTAGAGTTTTAGTTAAGGTTACGGTTTTAGTAGATTTATGTAGAACGACATTTTGAACAGGCCATTATCTATTTGGACAATCAACAAGAACATACACCTTTAAAGCTAAGAGAGACAACGGCAGTTGTATACAAGCATTAGTGCTGCCTTAATTACAGGTTGCCACGGAAAGCATAATAGTAAAAGATAGTTGGAGGCTTCGCCTAAATTGAGCAGCATTTTCTTACTTAAAAACTATTTAAAAATCTACAATAAAAAACAAATATCCTTATAGGTATATCTCAGCTGAACAATAATAGTTTTATATATAATAATAATTTTTAAAAGAAGGTAAACTTAATCTAAACATATTCATTTCCTTATTTTTACTGATAGAATTATATTCCGCTTGGAGCCTATTTAATATATTACAATCAATAATAGGAATAGGAATATAAGGTTACCAAGTTTAATAACTAATATTAGATTAAAGCCACGTGATAAAATTAAAGTCTATCATTGAAGAAGTAGCACCTCACTCTAGGGAGTAGATTGATCCAGAATTTCTACATTTTACCTTGTTAAGCTGACGCCTTCAAGCGCTTTCTTAGCTATTAGACGCGCTCCACTGGTCATGTTTAAAGAGAGTTTAATCAATTTGCCACTGCGTTTTCTCAAGAAGTGTCAGGGTGTTTTAGCGTTTTTAACTCTCAAACAAACAGTGCGCAACAGTGAATATGCTCACTATTTAATACAACTTACAAATTAAATCTTAAGAATTCTAAATATATTTTCAGCTAAATTTTTAAGGTATTAATTATATAATGAAAGTGATTTAAGAAAGTTAAGTGACTACCTTTGCCAATAGACATGTGGTACCTCGAAGTCACATCTCTTCCAGTCTTCTTTTACTAAATTGATAAACAATTTTATAAAATATTGTTTGCTAACACACGGCACTACCTTTATTATTCGTACCCGACGATGGCTATAGACGGCCTTACTTTGCAAAGGAGTAGGGTTCAAAAAATTATTATTACTTGTGTTACTTTTAAAATTATTACTCCTCTGTATAAAGTATGAGTCGCAATATATAAGAAAAAAAACGTTTCCATGACGAAACCATAGCCAGTTAAAATCAACAGATCATTCTTACTAATAAAGTGCAATTAAACACATTATCAAATATTAAATACTTAACAAACCTTTAAATTGAACCTTAAAGCTGTTTTATAAAAGGAAGACAGGCAGCTAGCTCGATATTTTTTTAATAAATACTAATGTCTTTCAGCCCGTATTCTCAGGGTTGGGCTTTGTATTTACTAATTGTTCATGAGCTATCTTCATCTATAGAGTTCTCGTTAGTTCTATTAGTTGTACTTATAAGTCCTCACTACTACTAGATACCTTTTTTATCTGTACTGAAATCTTAGGTTTCGTGTTCGTCAGTTCTATGAATCAAATATTAAAATTCTTTGACCGGTTTTTCTAACTAACAAATTAACGTTGCAGTTGTAAAATTTGTTTTTTTTTGCAATAATTACTTGCTTCTGTGGGCGGTTAATACGAGGAAGTTTTTGTATGTGTAATAGAAAAAAAACATAAATGTTATATTAGCAGTTATAGTGAAGTAGAGACAGGTATTTCCTTTTTCTTTTTTTTTGAAAGAACCTCCCGCACTAAGAATAAATCCTGTGTCGCGGGAGTCCCCCGCTGTACTGTACAAACATACATAAAACGGACACAAAGGACACTCAGACTCAGAACAACAATTTGTGAACCACACAAAGTGTTGTTCCATATGGGGATCGGGCCCACAACACTCAGCACAGTAGGAAGCGGCGAGGTGACCATTAATCCACTACGCAGATTCGTAGATTTCGACAAGATTCGTAAAGTTAAGTGCTATACTCGTTACCCAAGCGACTTATTTTGTTTGCAGGTTCAAATGTTAGATTTAGTAGGTATTGGTTATACTCACAGTGGCCCTGGAAGTGCCGCTGTCCAGACTGCTCTGCGAAGATATGGAAGGCGTCCTGGCGAGGCGAGCATGAGGTAGCGAACTAGCGCTCCGGCCTTCTGTCGACAGCGGCTGAACGCGGCATTGCTCTTTAGGTATAAGCATCTCCTGTCGACAAGAAACAACCTATAAAGTCGGTATTGTTATATTTATATCTTTGTCTGCATTAATATGTATTTAAAAGACTTGATAAGTTGCTGGTTAATAGCACCACAGTGCTACAGGGCCACCCGTAAGACCAGCGCCTCAATGCGCCCAACAGATTGACAGTATTTCAGAACGACCTCAAAAAGGAGGAGGTTATCAATTCGGATGTTTTTTTATGTATGGCATAACTCCGTGAAATATAGACAGATTTTCAAATTTTTTTGTTTGTTCGAAAGAGGTTTTCCCGAAATGGTCCCATTTAAATTTCATGTAGATCTGATGATGAGTCTCGGAGACAGACAACGGAACTCTTCAAAAAATTCCTGCAAATCACCCGAGATTGCTGCTAGGTTTTTAGTGCTCTTTGTTAGTATTATTTGAAGTCGGTTTAACTTTTTTTATATAATATTTTATTTTCTTATTCTATTAATGTGTTTTTGTTATATTATGATGAAACAGTAAAAATCAATATTGAAAAGTTTTTATTCACACATGAATTTCAGCAATAGCACTTATCGTAAATAGCTTTTTGTTTCATATTCTCTAACCGAGGCTTTAAGTGAGCCTGCAAAATAAAAGATATGTAATCAAAGTCAACTGTCATTCAAGAACTATCGACGGTGTGTAGTTTAATAATATCCATTTGCTAAATTGGAAGCATGACAATTCAATAACGTGAATTCATATCCTAGAAAGAATTGATTAAAATACTTATTTAGCGGCAATAGACACTGTGAAAATTGTTATTTGTAAAAATTTTATACTCTTCTTTTATAGCTATTTTATAGCTAAGTATTTAACTAATTATTATTAAAGAAATCTGACTAAAACCCTTCTAGTCAAATTTCTTTAATAATAATTCTTTCATGATCAAACCAATCAATGACTTCAAATTCACGACAATAGTTCTTTAAAATGACTTTTGATTGCAGATTGTCTAGATTAGTAGAATAGAGGATTTTTTTATATCCTTGTGCTCGTTTGTGATTTGAATTGTGAAACTGAAACTACAATACAAACCTAACTCTATATTTTACAGAAATGAGCAGAAAAACTTTAACTTAAACCACATCTTACTTCATTACCCCAACCAATAGAGTAAAATTACTTACGCTAATCTTTTATCTCGTGGCTTAGGACTAAGTTTAATATTTAATCAGAAAAAAGGTTTTTATTAAAATTCACGAAGGCTTTATGAGCCAACACAGATACTTTCGCGTTAAATAAATTGCCTTTTAGCCTTCATAGCGCCATCAACGCCGCATAAAAAGCGTTACACACGATATCCTAACATCATAAATAAAGCGTTTCCTTTATCGCATCGCCTGAAATGGAAAACTATCAGTTAAAATATTTCCTTCCAAGAAAATACTGAAGCTATTTTCTGAGAGCAATAAAAATCTTTAGCTAAAAATAAAAATATAAGAAGCTTAACTAATATAATATTCCACCAGAGGCGTGGAGTTAAATCTTTAAAATCCCCAACCCTTGCTGAAATACCTACTCAGGTTTTCTACATCATATTTTTCAAAGTAATATAGAACTTTATAACCTGCAAAATGAGCGTTTTTATATTTTAAGAAGTTTTTCAAACGAAACAGTTTAATTGGACAGTTTAACTTTATGATGATAGTTTGAGAGCTGCATTAGTGACTTGATCTGTGGCCTGGCAACACCTTCACAAGAATAATGTATTATTACTTTTGCGTATACCGTGAGGAGCAGTTAAATTGTCGATGCGTGATTATAATGATAAGTGCAGGTATGATTTGATGATTGATGATTTATGGGGAACAACTGACACCCCTTTTTAATAGTAGTTTGAAAATTAGTAACAACGCTTTTTATTACTTTTAATAAAGAGTATTTACTGTGAGTTTGAAAAAGCTACTACTAAAAAAATAACAAAGAGTCATGTAAAGTTCTAATTCCCATTTTACACCCTTAGTGGTGGATTTTTTATAAATCCTTTCTTAGTCCACACATACTTCACCTAAAGAACATTTGTGCAAAGTTTCGTGCTTCTAGTCTAGACCCATTGGTTTCAGCTGTGCGTTAATCGATCAGTTAGTGATCAGATCAGATCAGTCTGTCATTTTCTTCTTTTATTGAGATAGATTAGGCGTTATATTGACGTGTTTTGAATACCTCGCAAACCTGCAAGCCAAAGAGTATTAATGCATCATATTATCGATGCCTTGTACCCTGGGGTAATATCTTTTATAATATAGGAAACAATTCAGCCAGTTAATTTTCAACAATTGCCTCAGCCCGTATTGCAATCCTAGGTATCGAGATATCAAGCGAAGTCCAGTTTCGAGGTCATTAAGAGGGTAAGGTCAAATTGACTTCGAAGAAACTCGGTGTGCTGAATAGATCGAGGCAGTATGTCACTCCAGCTCATCGCCTCCAACTCTATAAGGTGCAAGTCCGACCGCATATGGAATACTGTTCTCATCTCTATGCGGGGGCACCACAATTTTCATCTCCACCACTTGGATAATTGGCGCTCCACCACTGTACACTTTTCAAGACACTTTTTGCCGCGCTACCAACCTGTGGATCAAGTTATCGGCTGCGGTATTTCCGGACCGATACGACCTTCAAGAAAAGACCGTACTCCTCAAAGGCTGGCAACGCGCTTGTGACGCCTCAGTTTCAGGTGTTCATGGGCGGCGGTAGTCGCTTTCCATTAAGAGACCCGTCTGCTCGTTTGTCAACTATTCAATAAAAAAAATAGCGTTTGGTATTAGTCTCTGTAGTGTTTTAATTACACATATGTATAACTAGTTAATAGTTGTGAAAGGAAAACCGTCATTTAACTTTATTAACATGTTTATTATAAAATGATCGGATTCATGACAATTCTATTTACTGTATACTTCGTAAATCGAATAAACTTAGTCGAATATACCTACTAAGCTGGTGATTTTTATGTAAGTAACAGAATAAAGTAAATAAAAGAGACTCACATTTCGCTCTGACTTGTGAGCGAGGCACTTCACGGATTCGATTTCTACACATAAGATACATTCGTGTAGCTTGTTAAGAGTATCCGTGTCAGAATTTGTATATCGAATGGAAGTTACGTCACCAGCATCTAATCCGCGAATGTGAAAAAAGATATCGTTTAAGTGTTTATTTTTCAGAATGTAAAATTCGTTATTTAAATAAAGAATTTTTTTAAAAAGTGTCTTCGACCTTTGAGCCTCTTAGACCTCTGGTGGCAGATTAACTGTTGCGGTAGGCGATAGAATGGCGCCTGGTCACAAAAAGCGATCGAGCAGCAACATATCAAAAAGATTGGGCCGATAGGATAGGGCTTTACTAAGCTAAGCGTGGTGCAGGCCTGGATGTCAGGTGAGGCCATCTGTCACCCTAGCAGAAGCAGGCCGGGGTGACCAGAGGTGTACCCGAGACCGTTTTTAGTCGGTTTGAGCCACCGGTGGGTGGTATTCGAGGGGATTTCCGCACAGAAAATAAAAGGGGTTTACTATTCGCTGCGTCGATCCGGGGGACCTGAAATAACATGGTCCGTGTCCTCGTCGGAGTAGGGCGCCTGAGTCCAGCCATCGGGGTGGTTTTTAGTGGAAATACGACATACTCCTTGCTCCTACATCTCCAAGGAGCCGGAGATCCGAAGGGATTGTCCACCCCGTCAACAAAAAAAAAGGTAGAGTGCCCAAAAATGTTTTAAAGCAAATTCTGTGCTATGATTATGTGCAAAATCTCAAAGGTAGTTTGGGTAGAGTTTTGACAGTTAAATAAAATTATCTCGATATTTATTTGAACGATCTTGGCCTATCTTCGAGAACCTTCGATGGTAATAAGTGGCATTTGACTTTTCAAACGATTTCGGAACGGGATAATTTAATTACTTTTCCTTAACGCTCGTTGAATTATGGTGAGTGGAAAGGATTTTATTCAATGACGTGAATTTATAGGTTAGGGTTGATATAATTAGAGCCCTACTGAGAGGGCAATCTGTTCTAGATGGTTCAATAATAATTATGGGCAATTATAATTATAAACTTTAGTTTATAATTAGACTTCGTACGCTGTTCGCCGAAAATTAACGAAAAGTACTTTAGTACTTCTCATAATTTTTCGGTTAAATGTAGCGTAGGAAGTCTACCAACAAGGTAAACAGATAATTTAATAAAGATTGCAGTTCTTCTTGAAAGTTATTGAAGGAAAATATGAACAGCGGAAAACGTCCTATGGCTCAGATCTGATGATGAAAACTTTGTAAGTAACGATCTAATTACACCCCCTATCAGTAACGAATGTAACCATAAAGGACAAAATCAATGGAGCCAATTAATGCAAAGAAATATACATACATACAAAAGAAATACATAACCTTCTTTTTGGCGCAGGTGGGTAAAAATAAAAAAAACAAATTCTGAAATCAAATTTATATTTAGGTACCTTAAAGTATGTTAACATGAACAATGTTTTAAGATGTAAATATTTAATTTCATAATGTTATTGCGAAATAAAAACTGTATCCATACATGATAAGCTTTACAGGCTGTTCTTGGAAAAGAAAAAGTCCTCGTCGACCTTCATCCCTAAGTAATAAATTATGTAAGTATATTTACAATAGATTTCTCTCTCAAATAGCTAAGTCGAATATCTCTTGAAAGAATAAAAAATATATGATATTATGATTATGATTATTTTCATTTTGCAATGTCAATAAGATTTGAAAATCGAGTGAATTGGAATTATAATTAACTATTTTTTTATAAAGGAAACCTATAATCGATTGCTTATCTTCGACGGACTTAGGTATATGTATAGTTCCTGCGACATCCACCAACTAACATAATAGAAAGCAAGCCTATTGCTATCAACCGGGTACACATATTTCCAAATACATACCTATATATTATAAATAAATTACACGCAGGCACAAAATAAATGATCGCGCTTTGCATGACACAATTGTTTGACTTTGATGGGAATCGAAACATTCACGAAATCTTGCTTTTTATTTTTTGTTTACGGGATGAAAAATCAATGCGGATCTCCGGCTCTTCGGTGACGGAAGAGCCAGGAGTATGTGTTGTTTGCACTAAAAACCACCCCGACGGCCAGTCTCAGGCTACTTTGAGGATGACCCGGTCCATGATGGATCTTAACTCGATTTTGACATGTGTGTGGATTGATTCTTGTTTGTAAAAGGAGTTCCAATTCTTCTGTTATTTCAGAAACAATAGCATATAATACAGAAATGCAATCTAATGTGTAATAGAATAAACTTTAGTGTACACCAATATTTTTCCAAGATGTATGGTATGTCAACGAATATACAAGACTAATGGCGGTCTTATCGCTTCAGAACAATCTTTTACAGACAACCGTTAGATGAACAAATCGATTGTAAATCTACGAATTCATGGGTAGTTTTGGTATGAAAAAGTGTAAAAGATTCATAAAATATTTATACAGTACTCCGCATTTCATATTCAACTTCCACTGCTATCGAATTCCTTTTAAAAATATCACTTTTATCCAATACTCAATAGCGGTATATATGTTTTGAAAATACACTCTTTCGTAGTTTCCTTTTTATATTTGACTAGTAATCCCAATACGAAGTACCGAGCCGTAAGCTTCTACGAATAGTATTCAATTATAACTGTGACCCCGGGGCATATATCGTCATTGTTATGTCCATGTCCATATTGAAATTTTACTGGCGGGCCAACCTACGTACATATGAGTATTGATTAAAGTGAGCAGTTTTGGAGTAACTTTTGTTTTTAACTTTCAGTTTATTACTTAACTGGATTGAGAAACATTGCAGGATACTTAAATAAACATTCATATTTTAGTTTTATAATATAGAAAGAAAATACGTTTACTTTCACACGACAGGGCGTAAAACCGTTTTTTACAAACTCACGCAATTAAGCTATGTATAGAATATAAGAAACTAGTTCAATTTAAGAGTACGAGAATAAGATTTTTACAAAAAAACTTTTCTAGTAGTACTAGTAAATCCCTTTCCAATAGTTACAGAAACACCCAAATTGAAAGATTAAGAATGGAATGGAATGCATTGGAATGCAGACAATTTCAGACTTTAACTGTAAGTCTTAAATTCACAGCATCATTATAATTTAGTCCGTGTGACGGCGGATTAATACTGTGGAGTGTTACTAACCCTATTCATAACGTAAGAGCCGACTAAAGGAGCAAACTACGCAGGACAACAGCACTGCAATAAGAAGGCAAACTTGATAGAAACCGTATATATATCCGTATGGCCAGCGTTTAATAGTAGGCCAAAAGCTCCTTTCTAAAGAGAGGCCTATGTCCAGCAGTGGACTATCAAAGGCTGTTGATGATGATGATTGTAATTTAAAAACTTAAAGTATACAATAATTATTAGTTTAATGTACAAGCAATACCATTTATTTTATTTAACAGGAACAGGTACTTTACAACAGCTGACCCGTTTTATTTTTATGCCCTCTCCTGTGAAATTTATATTCAATACCTCCCTAGGTGTTGAATGGCACAGCCGTTCATACGCTTTTAAGGGTTTCGAAAATTTAAATTCATAGCCTGAGTGAGGTATGTATATTTATGGGTATCAAATAAATTGACGTCATGTTAATACGAGTACTAAAGAGGCACAGTGTCAAAGGGTGAAGTAATTACCTCTTAAAGTTTGTATGGAAGATATATCGACTACGCAATATTAATGTCACGTAACGGTGACTAAGCTCTTTCCGAATGTTAAATTACATCTATATATTATAACTATTTCAGATAATTAAGTTTCTTGGGCGTTTCTTGGCGTTCTTAAGACTTTGGTTAATTAAAGTTTTATTAATATGTAGGATAAATTGTCACAATATTGAGAAATGGAGCTGCCTGGCTGGTCCTGTAACTTTAGTTTTTAGAAGTGCGATTATGATCTTTCTTCAGGAGAATAAGGCGGCGCTGAGTGGTGAGTGTCTATAGATGCGGGTTCGTCGCTTTCCATCAAACGGATAGTGTTCAGCTGTGGATGTATCAGAAAACTCAGCTGAGAGGTTTGTTTTGGCCCAATAGAGACTCTTTTCGGAAAAGCAAAGCAAGCTGTCGCTTTACGGACACGAACTCTGGCCCAGCAGTTAGGTTTACTCTCCACCAGACCTACAGGCCCGTCAAAGAAAGTCACATTTGCGCTAGTAATATCAGTGTGAAGTATGGATTAGGGTAGACATATTTACGTAAATTTAATACGAATTGCCCCACATTTACCTATCTAAGTAGCTAGAACCTACAAAAAGCCTATTACTAAATATTGAACATGACGTACCTACGTCCAGCATTACGTAACATTGTTACCGCTGAAAATGTGCTCACATACATTTTTCCCTACAAGCTTTCGAGGTTTTTTTCATTGGATTACAGATTTAACTGGTAAAAGCGAACACTAACATCGTACAGCGCATTACGGTAACGTTATAATACCAGCAGCGTTTTATGCCAGTATAGCTGGCCGGATTTTTTAAATGGTTTTATTTTTCGGACTTCAAGTAAAGGTTCCCAATGAGGTTGTTTTTCATTCATTCGAAGTTAATTTGTTCAAATGTGTATATTATTTTGTTAACAATATTTGTGTACCCTAGGCAAAACCGGAAGCGACAACACTTTTCTTTAACTTCGTTTTTGTTTTTCGTTTTGAAAAGACATCTTGCATAAGGAAAATATCCTGTGTCGCGGGGGACTTTATAAACATACAAGAAACGGACACAAAGAACACCTAGACTCAGAACAACAATTTGTGGATCACACGTAGTGTTGTACCATGTGGAGTTTGAAACCACAACACTCGGCGACCGCTTAAACCACTACGCCATCCGTGCAGTTAAAATATCATCATCAGTCATCAGTGCTGAATATTTTATCAGACAGTGTTCACTACCACACGCTGTAAACTATTCCTAATTTCGACTGACAATGAACATAACTAGTAGGAGCTATTAAAACCTTTGTAAAAATTCTAGTACTTAAAGGATTTTTTACAAAGGTAACATCAGTAAAAAAAAATGTACTTTTTGTTTTTGTACCATTTAAGTACTAAAGTCTCAGAAAGAGTGGAGCGTATGTGTTACTCAAAACATATTTTCTTGGGCATAACAGTCAAGTTGGCTATAAATTATGCCAAGAATCTATCGGGAACTAGACCAAGGAGGAGATCAAGAGCATCAAGTTGCTATAGTAAAATGTCAGAATAAAAAAATATACAATTTAATTCGTTGTTAAACTTACATTTAGACTGCCATGTGACTTGTCATCTCCAAAGCTGTCGGTAGAATTGTGACTTTGGCCGCTACTGGCACTCGACGTTCTCTCCCTCGCGGCTCTCGCCCAAGATTCGAGCCTCTTCTGAGCAGCCCAAACACCAGGTGGGCCTAACCCACTCATCGTGATTATTGTACCATCACTACACAATACAGTAGACCGTAAGACAGTCTTTTTACTTATACTACAATTATTACTGTTTTCGTTGTAAGTTATATGGCGTTAAGTATCACTTAGTCTCGCTGGAAGCCAATTTTGATTAATGAAAAATTTAGGTTGCGAATCTAATTATATTGTCAAGTCTTGAAAGTGCTTGAATCTTAAACGGTGGTGATTTTTTGTTAAGCCACAAAGTGATTCTATAAACCAATTTTGTTGTGTAATTAATGCATAAAAGAGCGCGCCGGGACGATGAAACTTTTGTTTACTCAAAGTTATCTTCTAATTAATAACTTAACTTAGATTCACTGATGGTACTAAGGACAAAAGTTAAGACATTTTGTTCCTCAATATGTAAGAAATGCAGTGATGACTAAAGAGAAAACCAAAACTTATCAAATTATGGGCCGGTCTTTATTTAAGGCCGTGAGGTAGCAATTAAACTTTCGAATAGTCCTAGTATGATCGAATAAGCAGTAACAGCATCGAATAAGCAGTCTTAGCCAGTGACTTTTTGTAGCCTATTTTCTAATTTGTAATTATTAATAATCATGGAAACAATTAACTTCTATATAACACAAAATTGTCTCTCTCTAAGTCACTAGTCTAGTGTCGCCTAGAGTTCTGAAAATTGAATAACGTAAACCGTGCGTAGGATGTGACCCCTATAGTTTTTTTTGTGCTTTTTTTCCTGTTTAGCAATATATTTAATGCAGATGATTTAACTTAGATATTTAGTTGCAATTTGATAAATAATTAAATAATTTATTAATTTATTTATTAAATAGGGATTCTTTGGAATTTGTTACTTAATGATATATTATGCCCATCCAGGCAACGGACCTGTGAAGCACACAACCGGAGGTGGAAAAACTCACCCGGCTGCAGACAGTCCAAACTGGTGCTGAATCAAGTCACACCACGACTCACCTGCAGACTGATCAGTCTTAGCAGACCGGAAATCAGAACGGTTGTCGGAACTATTACAGGACATCTAACCCTGAACCGACAACTATTCATAATCAATGCGACGGACAGTCCCCTGTGCAGGGGATGTCTGGAAGCTGAAGAAACGGCCGTCCACGTAGTCCTGGAATGCGAGGGAGTGGCCACACAACGGGCAAGTATCATTCCTGATACAAAGTCGCTCCTAGAAGCCTGTGAACGCCCCAGGAGGCTTCTGCGCTTCTGGAAGGAGCTTGGCTGGCTCACCTAGTCAACCAATCCTCGACGCATAAAGGACCACTCTGAGTCTAAATGCGGAAACCGAAGCCCACAACCAATACCAATACCAATACCAATATTATGCCCATCACATAACTAACATAAGACACAACTGTTAAAACTGTCATAGAACAAAAATAAAACTTAATCGATATCACAACATCACTATCGCTACTGAATATGCCAAGTGTTTCTCATGTTCTAACCCACAAATAAATTTATAAATGGAAGTTTCTTAAAAAAAAAAAAAAAAAAGCTTTAGTAGTCTACTTTTCTTTATTACTTCTATTATACTTTTTCTTTACAAAAACACCTGCGACTGGCATATTGATTGTTTTTTATTGTATTTACTACTTCAACGACCTCAAATAATGCTATTGAACAGTAAATATAGTTTCAATAACTATTTTCTCATCTTTACGTGGTGTTTGTACTTTATTTACGAAATATTATTATAGCAACATTCGTCAACGTAAAATATCCACAAGAGTGTCAAGCAACTGAGAACCATTTTTTTTTATTTCAGTTTAAATATCAACAATCCCTAGAGTGTCATAACTGCAGCTGCAGCAGATACTTGAAAATTGAACATGACTTTTTCAAGAGCTCTAAGGACCCCTTTTATAAGTAACTGCAACTAAATCTGCCCTAACAAAACCTCTTACCATAAAGATCAGTGGTTTAATTAAAAGCAGTGATGTACGTAAGAATATAACGGTAAGGTCTAATATTGTAATAAAGAACAGACATCCATCAACAGCCTTTAATAGTCCACTGCTGGACATAGCCCTCTCCTCAGGTAGCAGGGTTTGTGTCAAGTTTTCCTTCTCTTTTCAATACTGTTGTACTGCGTAGTTTGGGATGAATAATGGTGGTGACACTCTGTATTCTTAATCCGTCACCACACGGATAACAGACAACATTGTTCTTAAAACTAAATAATTGCAATTAGGTAACTTATATTTTGTTTGAAGTTTTAAACAGATTGTGCAAGTTCCTAAAAGGAAGATTTGTGTGTGCGTGTGTTTAAAAAAGACGTATATATGTATGTGTTATGTGAACATGAATTTACATTAATACATTTCCAATAAAAGCTGGGGAGGCGTAATTGCTAAAACGTGGCTAAAGCGTGTTAGTAATGTAATAAATGGATGCGGTCATGATGCCCAGCCGGTAAGTTGTGATTCCGAACGTAAATTCGTTCTAAAAAATAATTTAACTAGGTTTATGGGGCTAACTTTTACGCATTACTTTTTAGTCTAAAATTTGACGTAATGTTTAAAAGTGTATATTCTTTTTGTACTTTATTCTTCTGTTATACGCTAATACTTAGTGTATTTAGTAATTTAGAAATACTAATTGCATTTAGAAGCTGAAATACGACCTAATAAGACTGCTATGATGATGAATTATATTCAATAATTTAGTAAGTGCGTTTTGATTCATGCAATATCGTTTAAACATTTTTATTATTTGTTCAACTATTCAACGATAAATATTAATGGTACGTATTTAATACACACACATCTATATCCCCGTAGGGGTAGCAGAAGCGAATTAATAGCCCATTTTTGTCGAGTACCTATAATTTTAGTCCCACTTACATGGTACGGAGATACGGTAGAGAATATTATTTCCACGACAGAGCCGCGGGCAACAGCATCATTTTCATTTTCCTCCTCGCCCCCAATATTATTTGGTGTCGGTGGAACGTTTATGATATTGCAAAGAGGTATAGCTGGTTTCTTTTTTTTTATGTTAGAGGGGGCAGACGAGCAGACGGGTCACCTGATGGAAAGTGACTCTCGCCGCCCATGAACGTCTGCAACTCAGGAGTCACAAACTTTTATTAGGGAGTACGCTCTTTTCTTTAAGTTTCCGTATTTTAACCGACTTCAAAACACAAAACAGAAGGTTCTCAAATCGACTTTTTTTAATTTGTGTTACGCGATATGTCTATTAAGGGCCGATTTTTTAAATTTTTTTTTTAATCAAAAGGGTATACTCTCGAGGTGGTCCCATTACCACCAAGTCACGGTCTAATGACAGGAACTTGGTACCGACTTCAAACAGACTAGAAGGTAGGTTACATTAAAGCGTTACCTGTTTATTGAGGGTCGCATTTATTTTTAGTGTTTTTGAATTAGATTTGTAATTATTTTTTTAATTTTATGTACTCTTTGTTAGTATTGTTTGAAGTCGGTTCAAATTTTTTTTTAAAGGATTTGTTTATGGAACAGGTAGGTTACATGATAGTAAGTGACTACCACTACCCATGGAGACCTTTATCTCAAGAGTCACAAAGGCGTTGCTATCCTGTGAGAGAGTTAGAGGCGAGGGAAGAGGACGGGTTTGCCCTGGTTATCTCACACAATCGGTGAAAAGCATCGCAAAAATTTATCACTTCTGTCGACCCGACCCAAATGCACCGAAGCATAGCTCTCGCACAGTTAGTTAGTGAATGTCATCATTTTAGATGGGACAAGAAGGTATTTTTGCATAAGAAAAGCGGATTAGGTAGAAACTACTGAAAACCTACTGAAAAGAAGACAGGATAAAGGATACCGCAAGGAAAATGGACCGAAACTGATGTAGGTATTTATACCAGGGTAACGCATGTCCGTCCTATGATCGAAGAAGCCACTACTGCAGAGACATCAATAGGCCGCAAAAGATTTACCTTATGATCAGTTGTTGACCCAGGCATATTATCAGCGTCCTGAAATTAATTCACAATTCATTCAGGTGGGTAAAATCCATAGGTCTCGAGTTGAATAGTCTTATAAACTCTGTAAAGTGTATGCTAGACAGCTAGCCGCCGGCAAAAGAAAGGTCACAGACAGCCGTTGTCCTGCGTGGGCGCCGCGCAATTATGACCGTACTACGCGTCGTAGTAAGTCTACAATTTTAAAGGTGGGTGTTTGTTTACTCACAATGTTCCCGCTCCGATATCAAAAGCGCTTTACTCAAAATCCATATTTCAAAGCCTCCCTCCATTAATTGCACGGTTTATATTGTACCGTGTACGTATAAACCTCGTCAAATATTCTACTAAAAGTTGGAAAACAAATCTGAAGTTTTGATGGAGTGAATATGTTGCCGTAAATTGGGCTGTCAATCAATTTTTGTTTTGTTAGTTATTTAGAGAAACCGTAAATTCGTACACATGTGAGATACCTACTCTCTTTATTTACCTTTCTCTTTATTATTTCTCTCTATATTAACGAAACACTATTGAATATGATTTTGTGAATGTAATAGATTTAAAAGCTTACCGTAATAGTTAGTTAGTTTATGTTTTGAGATAAATAAAGTCCCATGTCAAGCGCCTGAATAAATACTTAAATGAGTATTAAAAAAATCTACAATGTTCGCAGCCAGCCATATTCTTCCTCGGAAGTGTTATAAGCCATATCATTTGCAGACAGTATTTTAATTAGAAGACACCACATTTACAAGTGCCAAGTGTAAAAAGTTTTCATTTTAGTGAAACTCTTTTAACTTGTATCCATACTAATATTATAAAGCTGAAGAGTTTGTTTGTTTATTTGTTTGTTTGTTTGTTTGAACGCGCTAATCTCAGGAACTACTGGTCCGATTTGAAAAATTCTTTCAGTGTTAGATAGCCCATTTATAGAGGAAGGCTATAGGCTATATATCATCACGCTAAGACCAATAGGAGCGGAACACCAATGAAGAATGTTTAAAAAACGGAGAAAATTTATTACTATTGAGAGACG